GTGTGTGTGTGTCAGATGATGAGATGACAAGCTGAGTGTGTGTGTGTGAGCTGATGAGATAATTGTGTTGTGTGTGTGAATGTGAGATGACAAGATGAGTGTATGTGTGAGATGATGAGATGATTGTGTGTGAGGGAAAGAGGTCAGATGACAAGATGATTGTGTGTGTAAGAGAAGGACGGAGGAGGGAAGGAAGGACGGGCGAGCGGGCGGAGTCGGGCGGGATGGCAGCCAAAAAACGGAGAGAGCCGGGCCCCCAGCGGTGACAACACGCGCCGCAGCCCCTTCTGCAGTCTCTGGACACTGCGCCGGCCACTGCGGAGAGAGCCGGGCCCCCAGCGGCGACAACGCGCGCCGCAGCCCCTTCTGGAGGCTCTGGATACTGCGCCGGCCACTGCGGATGTGAGGTGTGACAAGAAGGGCGAATAGATGAAGTTGTGAGTGGATATGTGAGATGAGAAGAAGTGTGTGTGTGTGTCAGATGATGAGATGACAAGCTGAGTGTGTGTGTGTGAGCTGATGAGATAATTGTGTTGTGTGTGTGTGTGAATGTGAGATGTGAGATGACAAGATGAGTGTGTGTGTGTGTGAGATGATGAGATGATTGTGTGCGAGGGAAAGAGGTCAGATGACAAGATGATTGTGTGTGTAAGAGAAGGACGGTGTCAGATGATGAGATGACAAGCTGAGTGTGTGTGTGTGAGCTGATGAGATAATTGTGTTGTGTGTGTGAATGTGAGATGTGAGATGACAAGATGAGTGTACGTGTGAGATGATGAGATGATTGTGTGTGAGGGAAAGAGGTCAGATGACAAGATGATTGTGTGTGTAAGAGAAGGACGGAGGAGGGAAGGACGGAGGGCAGGAAGGACGGGCGAGCGGGCGGAGTCGGGCGGGATGGCAGCCAAAAAACTAGAACCCCACACAGAGATGTGGGGAAAAAACACTATGTTTCTGAGTGCTGGTGTGCAGTTGGTAAGCATATTTGTTAATTTAACTATGTACTACAAAAAATGTCCAAATCCATAAGGTTATGTGTTTACTAAACAGTTCTTGGATGTAGTAATCTAATTTCATGCAACCCCCACGCAAAACCATATGTCTTGCTTTTAGGGTGTAAATTGCTCTGCTCTTATTGAATGCACTTGAGCAAGTACATCATAATCAGAAGGCAGAGAATTCCAAACCCTAAATAACTAAATTCGAGTTTAATTCTAATTAAAGTTAAATTCCCATCTATTCAACTCTACTCTACTTTGTATATTCAATTTCAAATTTGAGTCTATTTCAATTATTTGTAATTTCTACTTTGATTCAAATGTCTATCACCATAGATTCTATTTTACTTGGGATTCAATGCAAGCCTAATTTTAATTTGATTTCAAGCTAATTCCAACTTCATTGCTATACAAGTCAGATTCAATTCTAATAGTGTATTCGTTTTCAATTTAATTTTACTTTGAGTGAAAATTCTCATTTACTTCTAGAGAAGTGGTGTTACTGTGACCATGAGAGATTTTATGTAGTTTTTCCAAAATAGAAGCATTTGCTTTCTTACATGAATTAAATTTAACACCAGCAACACCCACTCTCTAGAATGACACCAAAATTGAATGAGAATTCCATGTGCATTGAACTAGAATCATTATAGGATTAAATTAGACATATAGAAACCAAACATAATTTGCAATGACGATAGTGTAAAACTAGATGTGTAAAACAATTGAATCTGAACTGTACAAAGGCACTAACAATAGAAATTAATTACCAGTAAATTGGAATAGTCAAAGTTACAATTGAACCCAAAATAGAGTGACATAGAACTAAGTTAGAAGTAGATTGTAATTAAATTAGAATTGAATGAACAACATTGAATAAGAATCCGTTACTTAAATTGAAATTGACTTAGAACTAAGGTAGAATTGAATTCCAGTTGCTTTACCTAGAGCTTGGGTTAGTAGAACAGTATTGACTTAGAATTATATTGGAATCTAAGTTCAATTAGAATTGAACTAGGTCTAATTTGCAATCTCAATTTGATTTCAATTATATAAAGTTCAAGTAGGATCATTTTCTATTTAAATTAGAAGCACGTTGCAGATTCAAATTTAGATTCAAGTTTGAATTCAATTAGATCTAAAATAGCCAAACATAATTAGAATTAAAATAGAAATGAATAAAATATAACAAAAACTGAATTAGAATTAGAATCATTCTTCTTCCATTAAGCTAGATAAACTTAAATTAGAATTCAATTAGGCTCAACTTAGGCTTAAAGTAGAACTATGTTACATACTCAAATTAGAATCAGTTTACAGTTCAATTAGACTCAAATTAGAAATTTTAATAGAAATAGAAGTGCTTTTAAATTAGAATAAGAATTGACTTAGAATTTAGTTAATTGTATGTGCACTAAAATTCATGAGTAAATTAGAGTTGAATTAGTTGTTAATTGGAATTGAATGAGAAACAAATGCCCGTAATCAGTAGTATTCCAGGATCACAATGTACTTAGTGCAATTTTGTCACTACCAGAGAATGCCAGAGAATGCATTCCTTCCCAAAACCAAGATCCAAGATCCAAGATTTGCGCAGAAGTCTTGTGGAAATTCTTGGGTTTGGGATTTGCCAGGACATCCTTATCACTGTATCAATCCAAGATTTTCGCCAGGAGTCTTGTGGGAATCTTGGATCTTGGATTTTGGTTTTGAACAAGAATGCATTCTGAATGCATTGAATGCATTCTGAATGCATTCCTTCCAAAGTTATTCAGCATGCCGGAATTTAGAATCTCTGGACAAACAAGTTATGTAACCTACTTGCACATATATATATATATATATGGTACCCCAAAAACGAAGGTCCAAAAGGCCGCCAAAAATAGACCCAACATATTGCAAATACCAGCAAAAGTGAGGTGAACATAGTTTTACTTTTTTGGGGGGTACCCTATATGTATTTATACACATACTTTGCATCATTCCTTTTTCGTGCGCCCACGGCGCCACACGGACGACCGACCGATGTGGTGGACCTTTTGGGCGTCAGCGACCGCGGAGGTGGACCCCCCGTGGACCTTTGGTGGACCCCGTCACACCCGGTCGATTCGGATGGCATTTTCCGAAAGACCATGGGAGGTGTGAAAAGAAAAACCTACCCTTCCCAACATGCCCAAGCAAGGAGTAAAAGGACATGTGTTCGACCTTAACGGGCGGATCGTTCGGCTTGTACCATCTTGTACCAAGGTGATTTGCTGCCAGAGCCACCCTATATGCCTCCGGAGGTGTTCGAGGAATTCTCGTCCACCTGTAGTTCAGTGGGGCTACGCTTGACTTGTTGAAGTTGTTGACACAGCTAGCGGCAGCTTTGCCTGTGTTTGTTCTATGAGTGTTTCGTATATATGTTTTTGTTTTTCATTGATGTCCTTACTGTGTTGTTTCTTCCTTGCTCCCTTCCTTGATAGATTGCCTATGTCTATCCTAGCCTGAACTGCTGTGTTTGTAGTATGTTGATTTAAGGTGTCATTGTTTCCTCAGAATGGCCTTAAAATATCCAATAGTAGCATGGACCACGACCTAAATCTACCCCTAATTGCCCGGAGTTTCATGTCGGACTTTCATTTTAGACCATCAGATACCTGAGTTGATGGTGGACACAGCTAGCACCCTTGGCCTCCACCGAAGCACTCCTGGCCTCGTGGGCAGGAGCCGCTTCTTTCGCCCATCATGGAACCTCCAAAGCTGGAGGGAACCGATGAGGCCGGAGGGACGACCGGATCAAACAGAAGCAACGGCCGGGAGGGCGGAAAAAGAAACCCTCTTGTTTCATCAAAGATTGTTTGTTTCATTTCAAGTTACTATTTATGACACTTTGGTTTCGCCAGTTTCACAGTATATATCGTTGCATCTCGTTGCGATGTTTCTACTGTGCCGAGTCAGTAACCTTTCACCTTGTTTTGGGGGGGCAGTTCAACGTTGATCTTCCAGGGAAGCGGCTTTCCGAAGGAGAAGCGGCGAACGAAAGGCTTCGGGAGTGAACGGCGTATCGAGTTTCGCAGGCGCAGCCGGTGGATCCTCCGATCAAAGAGACCAAGGCCTCAGCGGGAAAGGCTGTGGTCCTGTTAGGCCTTCGATGGTCCTTCCGGTCGTGGATTGTTTGTCACATGAGCAATCACCAAGACGTGTGATCCAGCAGCACGAAAATACATAGTCAGGGGATGTCAGGGGGGTCTATAAACCACCCCATGGGTGGTCCTGGATGACCAATTTAATTAAGAGCGGTCGTGAATTATTCATGAATTTTGACTCTTTAGCTGCAGAAGCGGTGATTGCCCACAATCCAAGAGCGATTGGCCCGCGTTGATCAATGTTCATGCCCTTTTTTTGATTACAGGACGTGTCAGCAGACGACATCCCTTGACCGTTTTGATGATGATGATGATGATGATGATGATGATGATGATGATGTTTGGTGCCAGACATGTTTGTTTGGATTTTGTAAGGCCATACAGACGGACAACGATGCGTTTTTCGCCCGCTGTTGCAATGTACTCCATGTGGCTCGACCGCGACTCAAAATGACCCAAGCGCGTGACCGGCGCATGCAGCCAGATCTATATCAAGCGGCAGAGCATAGGCCAACTGTCACATGGAAGTGGAGCAAGACGTAGCCAGCGAAAGCCGAAAGTGGAGCCTCCCACTCACGTTCACTTGTGAGTGTTTGACATCGCAGTGTACCAAAAGAAAAGCACGGTAGTGGATGAATCCGTTTTTCTTGGTGTGTTCGGCGGTTTTGAGAACGCGGCCGCCTTGTCAGGCAGAAGGCCAAATCGGTTAGACTCCGAAAGTGCAAACATATTTATTCACAGATATATATATGTAGGACATCATGTATGATACACACCTTGAGCCTTGTTCCCTCAGCATCCCCACCTGAGCCCTTCCCCAAACGGGCCGCATCCCACCACCCCCCCCCCCCGCGTCGTCGGCAGCCTCGCCACGATGGACGTGGGCCGCTGCGATGGGGCCCTGGTCGACTGGAAGTTCCTCCGGAGGGAGCTGGAAGCGTGGAGCCAGCGACCCACAGCCGATGCGCACCTTGGTGTGGACCCATGGGACTGGGGGAGGGAGGGGCGGGGTGGAGCCAGCGCCGGCTTGATGGAGGAGGTGAAGTTGAGCGAATGGAGTGGAAGAAGGGAGTGGATTTGGTTAGGTGATATGGTATATTTTTGGGGTGGCTGTTGAACGATTCACTTGCAAGGCGACTAGTTGTCAAGAAGAGCTTCAGTCTTCGGAGACTATGTTGGAGGGGAAACAGTCCTAAACTACTGATTGTCAGAAAGGCGTGCCATACATGGCCATCACCCTGCACAAGCCTTCTCCACTTTGTCTATTCCCAGGAGCATCCAGTGGCACGTTTGCATCGAAATAGATGGTTCAATTCGCTGAATTTCACTGAGCAGTTAGGTGGGGTGGTTGAAAAAGGGGTCAATGGGATGGCATATATAAATATAATTTTACATATGCACATGGAATGTTTGAGATGTTTAGGTCATACATGTTGTAGCTTAGACCGAGGAACTCCCCCAAGTCGGACGGGGACGGACTGACTGTGACTGCCGATTCGGCAGGATGGCGCTAAGGCCATTGCGCTGGATGGTGCTGTGCATTTTCTCCAACTGGATTGCGCGAATCCCACAGGCGGGACTCTCCTCTTCCCGCATGGCCCTGCCCATCCGCCATGCCGTTTAAGGAGCCCGAACTGCGCACATACGGCACAGAATGCTTGTCTCAAGTTCCTGCAACAAGGGGCAACACCAAATCACTGTGTTTCCTAAATAACCTGTCCACTTCGGAAGACTTCGATCTGAATAAAGGGTATGTAGAGAGAGAGAGAGAGAGTGAGTGAGTGTGTGAGAGTGCGAGTGAGAGTGAGCGAGGGAGGGAGTGAGTGAGCGAGTGAGTGAGTGAGAGAGTGAGAGGGCGAGTTGTTCTCCGCATGCATACTTGGAGTCTGAGCTTAATGGCTAGAGCATGTCCATTTTATTGCAAAAAGAGCTGGTGGTTCAACTTGTGGTTTGCCAATGTGGGCAACCGCAATGGGTTTTGTATGGTGGAAGAGTTCTGTCAAATCTAGACTCGAGTTTAGCGTGTAGAGTTTATGCTGCATGCCGGTGATTTCTATGTTTCAAAGCTGTTGTGTTTTCAGAACCAGAAACATAGAAACAGTCGAAAATGTGTGTTTTCAGCAGTTTTTCTCATTGTTTTTTCCGGATGATGTGTGTTTTCAGTAAAGGGGGTGACTGAGGAGTCAGAACCAGACATCGATCGAATCGATCCGTTGGCGGCCAAGACGCCCAAGTCTACCAGCACACACCAAGTCTTGCCCTGTCCCTCGAGGTTTGGGAGGGCTGTGTGGTGGGCGCCTCACTGTCGGTGCTCCACGCGTCGTTTTGCTCGGAGCCTGGGCCTTCACGCAACGAGCTCTTCCAGCAGGTGGTGGATGGCGTGTCCTTGCAGGGCTGGTCAGGACAGAGCGTTCAGGTTTGTGATGTGGGGAGGTCTTAAATGGGCAGATGTGTCCACTTGCTAGAAAGGATGATTTATACATATATATATAATTATATAATAATTTATAAACATGTGCCTCAGGCATTGAACCGACCTGGCACACATCTTTTTTTTTGGCAGGACTGGCCTTGGAGGTGGACTGGCCAATTTTCGACCTAGTGGTTACTCGGCGGGTTGGCATACGAATCGGAGGACTGGCCCACCATTGCCCAACCAAGACTCGAAGCCATTGGACCAAGACTCGAAGTGAGCCAGCCTAGAAATGTTGAGTTTAGCAGCCGAAGCTCAGTTCACACATGTTTTTAAACATCTTATCACAACATACAATCCTGGAAACACTCAGCTAAGTATACCAAAAAACAACGGTGTCCCATTCTGCTCTTCAGCCTGCCCTTCTCAGGGAGCCCATGCTGCCGTGTTGAGCTCCGGTCTTTGGGAAGGACGGGGGGACCAGTCCGGTTCGGATCAGGTGGATTGGGGCCCAGGCATGCGGCATGGGGAGGTGGTTTCAGAGTAGATGGCACAATCACCCCAAAGGATCCAAGAGGATCAAGAGGTGGTTGAGATGGACCCGTTGTTTTGCAAGACATGTTGGAGTTTATGCCATGCATATACTCTGAAACCACTGCAATGGATGAGCGGCGGTGTTTTTTTGCAGAAAGGCAACTGCATGGAAGTAGCTTGGTTGATGGACATATGCTTGGCGTGGTCAATTTTCACAGATAGATGGGTTCTTGTTCTTGTTGGGGGTGTGAGGATCTCAGCATCACACACCTTCAGGCTCCTCGCTCGTGCAGGTCAGGAGGAGCTTTTTCTGGTGGAACCGCCGAGGTGTTCCAAGCTTGAGCCAGGCCGGACCGCGCGATGGGTTGGAGGATGTGGGGCCGACTGACAGGTGGCTGAAGTGAGCCCAGTTCCGTGGCCTTTTTGCTTGGTTCGTTTGACGGATGGAAATGTTGGAGATGTTGCATCCTGTCACTTGTAGAGGCAAGCAGAATCCCAGGTGTTTGGAGTCTCCTTATCTACAACATTCTACCACCATCCTGGAGTAGATTGAATATGAACCGATCCAAAAACATGACCACTTTACTGTTGTACTGTATATGTTCCCAAATTCTATCTACTGGTACTGCAGGATCACTATAGTCATTCATGTTTGATTTCCGCATGGTCGCAGGCCTTTGGTGATGACGAAGCCCACCCACGAAGCATTGCGTTCTTCTGAGGCGACGACGATCTGGGGAAAGCATCGCTGATCACCATGCACCATGCGCTGCGCGTGGCTGAAACAGGCCGATCCAGGGTCCATCCCGAAGGTCGAGGCCATCTGAACAGACGCTTCAAAGCCAACACATAAAGCAAGGCATCCAATGCCCTAGTAAGTCTTGGTTCATGCATGCCCCTGCCCAAGCTGTAATTAAGGGAAAATTATGATTTAATCTTAATTGATTGGGATGATGAGTGGTCACCGGCGACCAAAAAAACAAAGGACCCATTATTGAGTATTTCGCAGTTGGTTACACCGTTACACCAAGGGAGGGGGACTTGATGGGACTTGAATGCCGCCTCCTGTTGCCAAGGGCATAAAAAATGGTCATATCATATGTCATATGAAAGTCCGCCCAGATATATGTTTTTAGAGATGCTCGTTGTTCTATCTACTCTCAAGGAGTAGACCTGATTCTACAATGGTTGCTGATAGGAACGTGCAAAGACCTGGTTCTCATTTGGAAAAGCCCTGGTTCCAATTGCACTTCCATTCTGAGAGGTTTGGTGTTTTAGATGATGCGTGGGCATCTCTCTCCTTGCATGGAATTTGATTCGCCACTCGAGCCGAACAGCGAAGACCTTTTTTGGGACAGGGCGTTTGGAGCTCAACACTCCGGAGATCGTGCACTCGCTGAATTTGCTTTGCTCTTCTCAGCTGGTGCATCTCGGAGCGAAGGACGATGGTGAAGGTGTCCGTTTTGGCCCCAAAACCCATGGGAGGACTTCAAGTCCAAACTGTTTTCAATGGTCCTTTTGGCGGAGCCTGCTAAGGTATGAATAATGAGGGGGGCTAGGAGGCTTCTTTGAGATGTACAGAAGCTGTTTGGGAAACAAATCAAAGGTGACCAGAAGGAAACTCATGCCCCATATGTGATATGCTTCTCGGTTCAGGTGAGAGAGCCAGAGAATGGATTAAATATCTCTGTCGTTTGGGAGCTTCTCCGGCGTTTGGGTTCAGGAGGCCTTTTGGGCAAATCATGTCATGATGTGCCATCCATAGTTGCAGGATGTTGAAGCCGTGCTGAGGAACAGCTTCGCCACAGCAACTGCGTGCGCGTTGAAAGCCTTGGCGGCCCCGCAGGAGTTTCAAAGTAAGCTCCTGGGTGCTGCAGAGAAGCGTGGCTGTCATAATGCACCTTTTGGGAAGGGACAGGTCCCTTACTAGTAACTAGTAGGAACAAGAAGCTACTAGGAACAAGTGCCACGCTACTAGGAACAGGTGCCTTACTAGTAGTAACAAGCACGCTAGTAGTAACAACTTTGGATTTGTGAGCGAAGACGTGAAATACCAACCGACCAATGTGACTGTTTGTACCCAAGGACTTCGCCGTGTCCAGCCTCGTTTTCGTTCGCATGGGACCGGCCGCGGATGTATGGCGAAAGCCAACAAAAGGACACCCGAAAATAGCGGACATGAGCCTTTGGAAAACGATGTTCCGAACCACCAACCGGGGCGTGGTTTTCAGGTTAAATGTGAATCTTCCGGGGCGTAGTAATTAATAAAATATCATATTATATATTATATATATGTATATTTGCCGATAAGCCACCACCGTTTTCACCACTTGAGGCAAGAAGAGTTTGGTTGTTTCGATGTTTTGCATTTTCCCAGTGGGGGACCTGTGGGCACCGGGGGGACCAGAGGCGTTTTTAAGGCGGCAAGAAACTAGCAGCTCGTGATTGGGGATGTTCGAGCCTAGTCCCTAAACGAGCACCATCCAATGGGTCTCCTGACCTGGACTTGTTCTCCCTACACATCCTTACGCTACTTAGTAGACCTCCGTTAGACACCTATAGGAGGGTCCAGGCAAAAGAATTGTTTGGGGATGTTTTTGATGGGCAGGGTCCCTGGACGTTTGCGAAGCGAAGTGAGAGAGAGAGAGAGATCAGGACTTCACAGAAATCATCACAATATAGTGAACATTCCATGAAGAACCTGGCACCCGCGAAAGAAGATGTGGGTCAAAATCAATGGAAGGTTGACATCCAAAGAGGAATCTAATCTATGCAGCAGTTCAGGGGTCAACCATGTTCTTTTTGCTTTTGACCCACCATGCACATTGCCCCCACAGCGTGTGCTTTTTCGTATGAAGTAGTCGTTCACATCCGAGGAGCGCCGCAGGTGGCTGCGTCGGGGAGGCTGCCGCGGGAAGTTGAAAGGGGGCCAGGCGTTGGGACTCCCTGAAATCAGCATGGAAGTGGAAAATCATGGGAGAACCAGGTGTTTTACCTTTTTGGTCTTCGGACTTCAGGGTCAGGACAACTGGTTTAATATCTTGTTTTTACCTGTTTGGTTTGGTATTCGGATTTCATGGTCATCCCGGGGGCCATGCCAGCCACTTCCATGATGATTTCAGGGGACTGTATGTTTTTGGAAATGGAATTAAATGGAACTGTGGCCACAAAACCTGAAACCTATAGCAGACCAATCGTGGATCAAATGTTGCTATCAAGCCTGCTCTGTGGGATGCACTTGTCACTGGGGCATGCAGTGGGCCCACTGCGGCCTAGAATCCACAGTCATCCACCTACCTACCTGTTACTTTACTGGGCACCTCCAGAGGTTGTCTCTGCCTGGTCAGGCTTCCATGATCACCGCTCTACTGCGCTCACCGTGGCCTTTGGCACGGTTGCTGGGGTGTGGGACCTCGGTGGACGTGGCGAACCGCCCGGTCAAGAAAGGGCGGTTTCGGCCGTTCGGGAGGTCAAGAAAGGGCTCGGGTCACGCCCGAATTCACTTGAGGTCATGCTGGGTCAAGAAAGCATGACAATGTCATTGCACTCTTGGAGCTAAAGGGAGTCATTATCTCTATCATGACTACTTGCAAAGCACAAGTAAGATGATAGCTTCCCAAGATTTCCCAAGAAGCCAAGACCGTGTGCATGTGCTAATTTGGTTGAGATTGTTGTGAAACGTGCGGGGAATAACACGCGACCTCGAGATGTTTGAATTACTTACCAGGAGTAAGTAATAACAAGGCCATCGGCAGGCCTTGGGGGTTCCATCCGACTGGCTAGTTGTCTCACACAATACCCCTGCCTGGCAAGTGTGCCATCAGGTGGAGAAGATGTCCGTCGCATGCTGTCACTGTGACTCATCCCGGCCTCGGACACAGTTACAAAGAGCACCAACACCCAGCCATGTCAGTAACAAAGCTCCCGGTTCTTTGTCACTGTGCCGGTTCTCATCCAGACGTTGCAAAGCTCCCGTCCATGGAGCCGAAAGAACAGTCAAAAAGACCTGCCACAAACACCCCTGCAGGCGCTTGCGACCAAAAGCTCCAGACACAGAGAATCCAGGAGCGGTTCGGTGCCCTAGACCAGCCTCAGTTTTTTGCGCTGCGCCTGTTTGACTGTAAAGAGGACGGGTGGGACGGGTGAGCAGTCTGGCTCGATCGGAGCAGTTGAAGCAGCTTTGTTGCAGTCTCCTTGGGCTTGTCCTAGTACCCTGTAGCAGTCAGTATAACTAGTTGTCAGCATTTGTTGAACAAGGCCCGCAACCTAACCATCGTCCACGTCCACTGTTGCTGGTACTGGGATAGGCCCAAGCTAAACCCCTTCAACCAGACTGAGGCTCCTGGTGGACTGCGGGGCTTGCAGTGGATGCCACTGGATGAAGAGCAGTTGCCGTATACCCCTAGCGGGTCTGGCGCACAGATCTACGAGCAAAGCAATGATGTGACCTTTCCCTGGGTGCAGCGCCCTGGCAATATGCGTCCAACGGCGATTCTTTGGACAATTGTTTGGAATGGGCTTAGCACCTGGCATCGAGTGCCTAGTTCTTCGAGGGGCCGGAGAATTGATGATGAGAGAGTCTAACAGGAAACGTTTGTTATTCTTCATTGGCGGGCAGTGATGATGAATAGAGATGAGACAAAGTACAATAATTACACAACATCGACTCCCACATAGAAGCGGGCAGGCCAATCAATCAAGAGGTCTTTGGAGTGTGTGAGCCTCCCAAGGTTCAATGCTATCACAATGTGCGCCCAGGTTCATTGCACGTGCAGTGCCACCACAAGGGCTGTTTATGGTACGCCGCTGCGGTGAAATCTTGGTTTCTATGTGGCGGAACAATTCGGAATGCTATTTTCCCTGGCACTTGCTTGATGTTCCTTCACTTGTCGACTTTGCACAGCTGTTGTCAGTTCTGACATGGCATCTAGCATGGCTGTTCAATCGGCCCAAAGCCGGCGCCCCATCAGCCCCTGCGCAGGGGTTGCCTTGGCCGCAGGGGCTCCGCTTCACGGACATTCAACGTGAGGCGATCGGAAGTTCCGGGTCGATCATGGGAAGTGACCAGGACTGGCTGGGAAGCATACTTCCGGACCGGAAGTTAGAATGTTGTTTTGAAAACATCTGGATGGAGATAATTTCATTCCATAGGCTTTTGCCATTCTAATTGAAACCTTCATGTTTACAGGGTTTTTTGAACTTGTGATATGTCCAACAAAAAAAAGAGAGAGAGAGAGAGAAAGAGAGAGAGAGAGAGAACAAAAAGCAGTGTTAGCAAAGTTTGTTGAACCCTTCTCATTTCATGCCCTGATCCCGCTGCATTCAGTGCCTTCAACTGACGATCTTCCTTTTCCTTTTCTTCTCCTTTCCTTTTGCCTTTTTCCTTTCCCTGTCTCAATTGTTTGTTTCCTTTCCTGTTTTTTGCCTTTATTTGTGTCCTGTTCCCTTTTTCTTTTCCTTTCTACTTTTTTATGTTTCCTGTCCTTTTTTCCTTTTCTGTTTCCTTTCCCCTCCCTTCTTCTTTGTTCTTAGAATTGTTGTCCTTTTGCTTGTTCCTTGGAAATTGTCGGCATTCTTTTTTACAGTCCATAAGGATACGTACCAAAACCATCCAAAACCCAGGTCGTAGGCGGCCACAGGCCGCCACAGGTGCAGTTGAGTTGGTGCAACCGCTTGCATTCAACTAGGGCCACCATCACCAGGCCCGACTGGGGTGGTGCAACATGTTTTCCAGCGATGCCTATGCAGACCTGCCCGGTTCTCAACTCTGCATTACGACCGGTCTTCCAACTGACCCAACTGAGACCGTCACAGATGGTTTTCAGAGACGAGACCAGCGAGGCGAAGCAGATGATAGCAGATGGTTCCATGCGAGGCGAAGTCCATGAAACTTCTCAGAGCCTTTTTGCAGCACGCAATCTTTACAAAAGGCATATACGTACATACAACGGATCGTAGGAATGCATGCATTCCCACACTCCGAGCATCGCCTTTTACATGTTCACCACACGGCACCTCCACTGAGATTCCACCACGACAGATCACATCCGCTCACATGGCAGCATACATGCCAGCATACACGCACATCCACTCGCACATCTACTCGCATACAAAAACTCACATGTCTCACATGTCTCGCCGTCCCCCGTCTCACTACACGCTCTCTGCTTCGATCCAGAACGATCAGGCTTGGATTCGATGAACAGTCTGGAGATGTGGTCCTCGTTCTCGTCGGTTCTCCGGTTCTGCGAACGTTTGAGAGGGTGACCTGCGCCGCCGAGGCCATGCAATTGCTGGAGGCGTTTCCTGCAAGCAATTACCCGAGCCCATCAAATGATCGGCAGACTTGGAGGTGCCTTGGTTTCCATGAAGAAATGCGTGGAGGCACATGGAAGTACAAATTTCAAGTTCGATGGCAGAACGGGATTGTCAACATGGTCGACTATTGGACCTTGAATCTCAATGTAGTTTGTTCCATAAGGGCCTGGAGGCATGCACCATAATAATTTTCAGGCAGGCTTAAGATGCCTTAGCTGAAAGCTTGACAAGCAGGATTCCTGAGGACTATTATGACTAAACAGTTTCGGGCCTTGGTTGTTGCCTAGTCCTGTGCCAGTCCTGCTTATCCATAGCAGTGTTAGGCTTTCCTCGACCCCAAAGATTTTGCAGTCGAGATATTGGCCTTTCAACCACAGTTCTTTTATCTTAGCTGCTGTATGATGCTGCTTGTCTTGGCTGGCCCTCCTGTTGCCATTGCCCATCCCACAAGTGGACGGAACCCAGGGCATCAGTGGATCTCCGAACCGGGGACCGGGTACACCGCTCCGCTACACCGCTACCGCGTTCACCGTCCGCTCCAGGACCCTATGCTTGGTCTGCAAGGACGGCCTTCAAGATCCGGCCACCACCACTGAGGGGACCGTCTACGCCAAGACCGAGATCTTGTCCCTTGCACCCGTGCTTCGGCGAAGGCCAACCCATGGAACTGCTGGCTGAGCGTCGAGGCCGAGAACAGAAGCTCCCTCTTTAGATGCGCAGTTAGGTATTTAAGCTAGACTGTTGATGATTAACACCTCTTATATGATCCCACAATAACATGTGAAACCCTTCCGGAAACGTTGTTGTTGTTGTTGTCGTTGTCGTTGTCGTTGTTGTTGTTGTTGTTGTTGTTGTTGTTGTTGTTTTATCTCGCTGCCGTGTTTTGGGTGTTTCTGTCGAGCAGCGTTTGCTCCGGGATTCGTTCAACGGGGAGTGCGTTTAACTGTTACATTCTATAATCTTATAATTGAATGTCTGAATGAGAGTAATGAGGGAGAGCCACAAACCACCCACTTTATGAAGGAAATAACGAGAGTGAGAAAAAGGTAGGTTCGCATAGTTTTTTCCTTTGGGCGATGTTGGGATGGTTGCCGTGTGACTTTGATAGGCCACTAGAACAAAAATGACAAGTTAATATATAACTAACGTATATCATCACCTAGCATCATGCAGTCAATTTGTCGTTGAGCACGGGGACGTGTTCAATACTTTTGTTTTGTAAACCAAATGAGCCAATCTTGCACATGCCTTGGAAACCGAAGCCGGAAAACCAAAATCGAAGCCTTTTGGTGGGATGCATCCTCTTGCTATGCATGAAATGTGGTGTCTCAAAACGAAGCCAAAACGAAGCCCCGAACGAAGCCAAAATCCACGAAAGAGTGTTGTTTGTAGACCCTGCCCCAAATGCACTGTACTGTAAGTTCCTTTGCTGCACTTCACATTGTAAAGGTCTAGTGGTACTATATGTCACCTGGTGAACAACAGAGCATAGTAGCCTAACTGTATCTAACTGGTGCAATTCCTTGGAAAATCAAGCCGGAAAGCCAAAAACGAAGCCTCGCTAGAAACGATCCAAATTTTGAACGTTATATATAAGTTTGCCGGTCACTCAAATGAATTCCATGTAGTTTGTGCTGCTTAAACATATTATTTACCATAAAACTGCAACTTGAACATGCAATACAGTTTGCCAAAATCTAAACAACCCTTCTCCATTCCATCATTCAATCCTTCTCCAGTTAAACCTGACAGACTTCGTGAGACGAACGCACGAACATAGACATGTTCGTGGTTTCAGGATGTTTCAGGGCACGGCTCCAAGCAACCGTAAGAAGAGGCAGTGCCTGGACCTGGGCCTGGTGGGCACTTCTCGAAAGCTCGAAGCCTCCTTTCACACACCTGGAGGTGCCACCATCATGCTGCCACCCTGAGGTCCCCGTGGACTTGGTGGATCATTGTTTTAGGAAAACGCTTTTGATGACCAGAGGGCCGAAAAGAAAACACCCGGTCTCACGACAAAGTCAACAAGCAATCCAAATCCAAACAAACTCAACTCAAAACTCACAAGTCAAATCCAAAACAGACTAAGCAGCAAAACTCAAAACATCTCATACCAAACGCAACAAATACTCAAATAACACCAACAAATAATCTATAAAAACTCAACTTCACAATACTTGACAAGTGATTTGTTTCCAACTCGAGTCCACTTTCAGTCTAAATTTAAATTGAGTCTGATTTATCAGTGATTCTTACCAAATACTCAAACATACTCAACTTCAGCTGCTCTCGAGTTTTGTTTACATAGATGATAGATGGTGCACACTCCGGGGGGTTGCAAGTGTCATGTGAGTTATATATTGGATTCCTTTCCTGGCCAGGTCACGAAAGCCGGGAGATAGCAAAAGATCACATGCACTTGTTCAGAACGAAAAGCCTAGAGAAGAAAAGCAACAAAGATCAAAGGCTTTAAATGGCTGAGGCGGAAGACATGTTTTCTCAAAAAAGACTGAACCCCTTCGGGCGATTTGGGGTGCCTTGTTCCTGGTCTTCCGGTCCGACCCTAGCAGCCCGTGCCCGTGCCCGTGCCCCGTGCGTCGCGTGCTGCGTGCTTTCGAGGCGCTGGAGAAATTCATTGACCTCTTTGGGCCCACAGGCCGGCAAGCCCCGTTCGTAGCGTCCTTGCCCCTAGTAGTATGGCCAGGAGCCCCTAATAGCTTCTTGTTACTAGTAGTAAGAATGCTCCTAGTAGCGA